CTGTTGTTCCTTACTAGAACAATAGATTTGAAGTTGCTGAATTGATTTTTTTTAATTGAAATTTAAGAAAAATAAAATAGGACTTGGTGATTTATTTTTTTTCTAAAGTATTGCTTTTGTCATGTTACTAAATAGTTTGCTGCCTATTGGCTCTTCCTCTCTAGATAAATGCAAACCAAGTGCCAACTGTGAGGTACCTTTTTCTCCCCCTGTTCTGATGGATATGGATATCACTTACATCATGGACAGCTCTCGCAGTGTCAGTAGTGAAGAGTTTCAGCGAGCCAAAGACTTTGTGAGCAACATGCTAGATCAGTTTGTCGTTTCCTCACAGCCAAATGAATCATACGGAGGGATCAGAGTGGCACTGGTGCAGCAGGCTCCCCGGGGCTTTCTGCCTGACAGAAACCAAACCCCTGTGGCCTTGGAGTTTGATCTTGTCACATACAACAGTAAAGATTTGATGAAGAAACATATCCAAGAGTCTGTTCGTCAACTGGAAGGGCCATCAGCTATTGCTTCTGCCCTACAGTGGACGGTTGAAAATGTGTTCTTTAAAGCCCCCAGACAAAGAAAACACAGGGTCATATTTACAGTAGTTGGAAGCAAAACAAGCATGTGGGACAGAGAGAAGCTGGGAGAGATTTCACTTGGAGCCAAGTGCCAAGGATTCACCTTGTTCACTCTTGTGCTTGGCAATGATGTGAGTGACGATCAGCTGATGGAGCTGTCGAGCTCCCCCACAGAACAGCACTTACTGACACTGGGCAAGGTTTCAACATCTGAGATGTTATACGCTCAGAGATTTACCCGGTCATTTCTAAATCTTCTACAACGTAAGTAACACACAATGGCATTTGCTTAAGTTATGGAAAGAAAGAGAAATGCTGTGTAGAAAAAGGTAGTCAGTGTATATGCGCTATCATTCAGTTTCTAGTTATAATTTAGCTAGCCAGTCTTTCCTTTTTTAGTTTGCTGTAGATGCCGGACACTAATGGATGTGCCAGTAATGATGGAATTATATTCTAATGGTGTCTTAGGCCAAAGTCTTAAGTAATTTTTTTCCCTTGTGTTTGTATTTAATGTGTGACTTTGACTCCACTTTCACTAAAGAAAGACCATTCTTCAGCTAAGAGAATAGAGTTACATTCCTGATTTAGGCCTACATTTCCCCTCTGTCCATTGGCATGACCAGATAAACTGAGCCGTTTATGCCTTTTTAGGCTTTGGTGCTAATACAAGTTTAAAGATTTAACATTAACCTCCCTTTACTGCAGTTATTCCTTCTCTGTAGAGCAGAGAAATAACTTTACTTTTCAAGACACATTTCTGCAGATTAGCAAGTCTTAGGTACTTTGAAATATAAACAAGAGAATATCAAGAAGAAAATAGTCACTGATTTAAAATCCTCATCAGAGACATGTACTAAGAAGTCAGAGTGTCTATAGAATGATAAGCAGTGTCTTACAGAGCAAGATAAAAGTATAAAAGATTGGTTCAGGACTCATTCTCATCTAGTTGATCTCTAACATAATTTTCATTTTCCTGGACACAATGCCAGTCGCTCCAGATATGGTGTGTTACTTATTGACAGATGCAAAGTCCATTTCACAACAACAAAAAAAATCATGTAGTGCTTTTTATTAAACATACTGGGGTTTGGAGGAATTTAAAACTAACCTGTGGTATCTGTACTTTCCCCACAGAAGAAATGAACAGTTATCCTTCACCTGAACTTCAAGAAGAGTGTGAAAACTTAGATCAGGGAGACACACAACAGCAAGTGTCTATGATTGAAAGGTTTGGAATTGCCTATTAAACTTCTTGAGTGTGTCTCTCTGAACATATTTCTCCCTTTGGGTTAGTAATATTCAAAGTAGCTTTAACAGAGACAGGATCAGAATCTAAATTTTTTTCATGGTATTCAGAAAGAATGAACCAGATGCATTTCTCAAGGCTGTACTGGTGCTTAAATACTTATTTTTTTTTTCTCTCTCTCCTTCAAAGGATGCCTTTTCCTGGAACTGATGAAACTGGTTACGGTAATGATTTAGAAGGCATTGAAAGAACTGAAAGTAGAGTCCTGGAGAATATTAGAGAAACCACCACAGAACCTGTATACACAATGCAAGAAATGAGATATGATTATGAGGACAATGAGTATTTCACAGAGGAAAATGTTGAAGGAGAAAAGCCACAAGAGTATGGAGGAGCTCAGGAGGAGAATGAGGAAAACTTAGAGGCAACAGCAGAAACTAGAGCTGCCTATAGTGATTATGGTATGATTTTAGAATATGAACATCTTTTTTAATTCTGTGAAAAGACTCTAAATTGTGAAAGGCTGAGTTAAATATTTACACACTATGTAGCATTTCCATTAATTACATTTTCCAAAGTGTTTTGTCACCGTATGTTTGTATTCAGTCTAAATCTAAACAGTAGAGTTTGTAGAGTCTGAACTGCAGGTGTCATTATGACTTTAGCTTTAATTTGTAACTTTTTGTAATAATACAAGTTTCTAATCCCCTTTACTAAAACAGCTGATAATTTTAAATCCCCAAGTTGCACTATAATTGCTGAGTGACTCCTACTGCTAACTTAGTTAAACATGGAAGAACTAAATATGTCTCTACTGCAGTCTGTTCCTATAGGAAGAACAGGATCCCTCAGCAGAGGTATCCTATCAAATATGTATTCTTCATGTTTTTTACTTTGCTTCCTAATAATGCATTTTTCTTTGCAGATTTGCCATTTGATATAATATGTATGGGAAGCTGATTGTGAGATAATTTGTCATCAACATTCTTTTAACACTATTGTTTAGACTACAATTGGAGAGAATTTCTATGAAAAGAGTGCATATACCTTTGGGTGTGGTTGCTACAGCTGCCATCTCTTTGTTTTTCATCCCTCTCCACTTAAAAACTCTTCTGGGAATGTCTGGTAGCCCCATCCCTGATGAGAGAGGACCAATGCTTCTGCAAAACTGTTTTAATATTGGATCTTTAATTAAGAGCTAAGGTACCTCTGAGAATGCCGTGCATCCACAGTACATCACAGAATTGCTGAGCACAGATGGAACTGGTCCCGTCACCTAACTGCATGTATACAATCTTGAATCATTGTTCCCATTAACCAGTGCATGAACTCTGAACTTGGTTGCAGTGAACATTAACCAGTGCATGAACTCATGAACTTGGTTGCAGTGACCATGAAATGGTGGAG